TCCGATCCATGGAGGCCCCATTTCACAACTTACAGGACTTACAGGATCTGCTGCAAACGTCTTGGTGCCAGATCCCACTTTTGATAGGTATGGACAAGCGTGTATGTATAAGTAGGCCTACACTTGCGGAAAATTACAGAAGCACTAGGAGGCCATACATTCATATATTTTATTTACTCCATTTCCCCAAGATAAAGTGATAATTGTCTATAATAACTGAGATACTGAAACTTTGTTTTCCTGAGATAATGACATAATTAATTTAAGATCTTGAGAAAACAAAACAATAGTCTAATACAGGGGTCGGCAAGTATGTTTGGCATTGGACCAATGTTTTAAGTCAAAAGATAACTGCCTGGTTGCCTGCCTATCCATAGGTTGATAGATGGGGAAGCATATACTCCAGCACATGCTTTATTGTGAGCATACAAAACAGTCTCTTCATAATTAATTTGTTGAACAATGAGAGAAGCTGAAGTGTGTCATTATAAGGAGTGAACACACAACCCTTAGATTGAAAATCCTGTGGTCTATCAATTAACCTAACCAGGTACACTGAAAACTTACCAGTTATCCTTTGACTAAACACATTGGCCCGATGCCAATGTTTGTTTTCTCCAGATTTAGAATTCTTATGTCATTATCTTAGGAAAACAAAGTTTCATTATCTTGAGATCTTGAGAAACTTATCCGGTTATCTTGGGAAAACAGAGTAAATAAAATGTGTGAATATGGCCTCGTAGGGCTTCCATAGAAATCACAGGTGTTTTTAATTTTAGTTTCAGGGTCCTGGTATTGTGCATTGCTGGTTAACTGTCACACTGCCATGGCTCACTGGGACACTATTATAGAACTGAGCCATCGTTAAAGTTATTAGTAACACCTGTGCTTTTCCTACTATAACAAGTCAAAATGTCTGCTGTGACTCATTCGTGTTGGGCCTGTCTTAATTAAGAACACCCCCACTGCCACCCCTCCCTTCTGTTTTGTTACAGTCATTTTCATTTGTATTATCAGAGATCAAGCTATTACACCCACAACTGTAAAACTGGTTAAGATGCAGCTAACAACTAGCCTAGCAAAGCTGATAAAAGGCTGAGAACTGTTGAGGTAGGCGGTTTAACTGGTAATCTTGCTCTTTGAAGCACCCCTCTGCACCCTTGACTGTTTAAGTTTGTTGAGTCTCCTTGTTGTGTTTGTGTTGCACTTCTAGGTGTATGTACTCCTTTGCTAAGTCTTCCCTGCAGTTGTAGGTAGTGTGTTGCAGTAGCAGGGGTTTACCATCCATCCATCGTCAACCGTACAGGGTCGCAGGGAGCCAATCCCAGCTTATATCAGGCGAAAGGCGGGGTACACCCTGGACGGGTCGCCAGTCCATTGCAGGGCCACACATAGACAAACAACCACTCCCACTCGCACCTAAGGACAATTTTAGAGACAGCAATTAACATAGCCTGCATAGCTTTGGAAGGTGGGAGGAAACCGGAGTACCCGGAGAGAGAACCCATGCAACATACACAACTTTTACACAAAAACACGCACGAGGCAGGTCAGCTAGCATTTGAGGGTTTAAGAAAGAAGGTTAAAAAAAGTAAAGAAATAATATACAATTAAAATATTAACAAATATGGCCTATTTCGGTGCAAAATTAGAAATAAATATGCAAATGGATGGTGGATGTACAGTGGTAAACTATTGAGTGGCTGGTACACTTTGAACATTTACTAGCCATTTGGCTGGTAGACAAAAAAAAGTTAATTTTGCACCCTGGGCCTTCTATAGACTACATAAGAAGAAGTAGAAAATTGTAGAAAAGGAAGAAGTCATACTCTCTAATTTGGATTGTTCTTTTCACCTGTGTTTATGCTTGCTGCTGATTTCCTCTCTTTGTTCAGTTCTTCTGGGCTGGAATGAAATTAATTAACTTTCTTTTATAAACTGCAAACCTTTTTATTCTCCGCGGGAGTTTTCCTCGTTTGTTCTGGTCGCTGTTTACATTCCACCTCAGGCCTGTGTTAGTGAGGCGTTACTACACCTGGCCGACCAGATAACTAACGTGGAGAAAAAACATCCAGACTCCCTGCTCATAGTTCTTGGGGACTTTAACAAAGCAACACTGCTGGTACTCAAGGACGAGCTGAATGGTTTCTACTGTAGGTTTGAAAAGCCCAGAGTCACACCTCTCCCCCACTCCAACGCCATCTTCAAACAGGCATCTTCCCCCTCTGACCTCTCACCTGCACTCAAGATCTGTGAAGAGGACGTGAGCCACCTCTTCCAAAGGCAGAAGATCAGGAAGGCTCCTGGACCTGACGGTGTCTCACCATCGTACCTGAAAATCTGTGTGGACCAGCTGGCCCCCATCTTCACTCAGATCTTCAACAGATCACTGGAGCTGTGTGAAGTCCTTCAAACGCTCCACAGTAATCCCGGTCCCAGAAAAACCTCCATCTCTGGACTAAATGACTTGTCAGCAGGTGAGGTTGGGAAACATCACATCCAGCACCCGGACTATCAGCACAGGCGCCCCCCAGGGGTGTGTGCTCTCCCCACTGCTCTTCTCCCTCTACACCAATGACTGCACCTCACGAGACCCATCTGTCAAACTCCTGAAGTTCGCTGACGATCATCGGCCTCATCCGGGACGGTGATGAGTCGGCCTACAGACGGGAGGTTGATCAGCTGGCTCTCTGGTGCGGTCAGAACAACCTGGAGATTAACATGCTCAAGACTGTGGAGATGACTGTGGACTTCAGGAGAATCCCCCCGACTCTGCCCCCCCATCACCATACTCACCAGCCCTGTGTCTGCTGTGGAATCCTTCAGGTTTCTGGGTTCCACTATATCCTAGGACCTGAAGTGGGAGCCCAACACTGACACGATCATCAAGAAAGGCCCAGCAGAGGATGTACTTCCTGCGTCAGCTCAGGAAGCTCAACCTGCCTAAGGAGCTGCTGATCCAGTTCTGCACAGCCATCATCCAGTCTGTCCTCTGCACCTCCATCACTCTCTGGTTTGGATCTGCCAGCAAAAAGGACAGGGACAGCCTACAACGGACAGTCAGGACTGCAGAAAAAATAATCGGTGCCAACCTGCCCTCCATTCAGGACTTATACATTTCCAGAGTCAGGAAACAGGCAGGAAACATCACTGCAGATCCATCTCACCCCAGACACAACCTGTTCCAGCTTCTCCCCTCTGGTAGGCGCTACAGAGCACTGTACGCCAAAACCAACAGACACAGAAGCAGTTTCTTCCCACAAGCCATCACTCTGATGAACAGCTGATTTCTGACTCACAGTGTCAGGAACAATTCTTGTGCAATAACCCAGCTACTGTCTCTAATCAGCCACCTGTTTACTGGTTACCGCTTATTATTTATTTATTCACCATTCTCTATTTCAGTGTGCTGTTCATACTATGTCATATTGTATATACTGTATACCAATACACCTACCTCAGGTCATAAGGTCATAGGTCTTATTTATTTTTTCCAGCATCCTTTGCACTATGCTCCATCACACTGTGTACATGTATGCATGTATGTGTACCTGTACCTGTATATCATATCCACCTTCAACATGTACATAATGAGAATAGTTTACTCCTGCATCCTTTGCACTCTGATCACTGCACTATTTGTCAATATATCTATATTGTTTTGTTCACAGTGTGTATATTAGTGTTGTCTATCCTGTAGTTTGTGTATGATTTTATTATTGTGTTATTGTATTATTGTATAAGTAAGCACATCATGAGCAATGTACAATCCTGAGTCAAATTCCTCGTATGTTTACACATACCTGGCAATAAAACTGATTCTGATTCTGATTTATACATTCAGCCCACTCTCTTTCTATAGCACATATAAACTGTTGAAATTGACAGACAGTTTATACTGACACAGTAGCCACCAGTGTAGATGCGTCCTATGAAATTCACATGGACAAACTGAAAAGAAAGATGGAAGAATAAACATCGGCCCATGACCATTTAAGAGGAGGAACTTTTGTATACATCCAATATGCAAATGAATAGGCCTATACTTTATTCTTGAAGTTATTGTAGGAGAAAGACAAGCTATCATAAAAACTAAAGAGAAAAAAGGATGAAATGTAAATAGCAGCTACTGTTGATGGATAAATAATGGTAGGTTATTTGAGGGAGACGTTTAATTAAAAGAACAGCACTGTAGGCTACATTAGTAAAATAACTAAGACAGGTTTTAATCAAGCTGATTCAGATAATTATTTTACCTATAATCCTACTGTGAACCTATTTTCACTTATCCTAAGTATGGTTACGATTTTGAATGTACAACGTCCATTGTAAGTTTGAGCATTGAGTGCACTTCTAAGTAGGCTACTTAGGCTGCAAGGTAAGTAAAAAGAACAGAAGAGGACATAAGATGTGAAGCGCCTAAATCCAGAGACGAAGAAGAAGAAGAAGAAGACGCATCCGGAAGGTGGGATGTGGATAAAAGTGGAAGGAAAAAATATTACAGTTTACAAAAATCTATTAATGCTCAGGGTGTGACTAGAAGGACCAGAAGAGAGGAGAGTGTTTTAACCAGGCTAAGGTTTGATCATACAGGATCAAATAAAATGTTGTTTTTAATGGGCAAAAGCCAATCAGATGAATGTTTGGAATGTAGGTCCAAGGAAGATGTAGAACATGTACATTGTAGGAAATATAGGGAGGCTAAATCAAAAGATAAGTCAGGCAGGAAGGAAGTGGAACCTTGAAAGTGTATTAGGCACAACAGGAAATGGGATAAAGGATACACAGAAAGCTGTTGTACAATATCTGAAAAATATAGGGATATGTATAATAGGATTTTGTTTGTTTTGTTTTCTATCTATTTTGACGATATAAACTAGTCCCGACATAGTTCATGCTACATATTCCGATACAGTAGGTGGCGGTATGCACCTTCAAAAGTCATGGTTGCAATCTGCCATAAAACGAAAAGAAGAAGTAGTCGGTACGTCCGCGTCGTATCCGGTAGTATCTTTGGTTCAGTTGTCCGGGAAACCCGCCATGCAGCAGCACTTCGTCTAAAACCAACACATTTCCGAGGAGAGGCGCTTGTATCTTTGCTTACATGCCTGAGCCCCGGCGTGCTTAGCTCAGCGAGACAGATGACAGGCTAGCCGGCCGAGAGAATATAGGAAACAAGTAACGTTAGCTAGCTTAAGCGGTGTCGAGCCCCGGTTGAACGTTATAATTAACGTTAGGCGGACGTTCGCTAAAATCCAACATGACCCAACAAGCTGCTGCTCTGCAGACCTACAACAATGAGCTCGTCAAGTGTAGGTGACATGTTTTCATGCTAAGTTGATGGATTAGGAGTCTTTAGAAAATAGTGTGACACTAACGTTAGTGGTTAAATGAACTGCAGGTGACCGTTTTGGCGGTGGGGTGTTTTCCCGTTTGACCACAAAAATACTTAATTTCTATCTTGTCTAACGTTAAAGTATAATAGAGAACATAAAGTTACATGTTTTCCTCTTGTCGGGAATAGGTTTTGGATAACGTTATAACGTTAACGGTTAACGTTCTGTCTCGACACGTACTCACTTTCTAGTGTTTTCGAAACAGATGGTGAGTCTGACAGATGGTAACTTACACCTGTGATGTTCTGCTTGTAAGTTGGCTAACTGTTCAAAATTAGTTCTTAACCTTCCAGCTACTTTGACCAGCAAACAGGATACTAGTGTACAATCTGATTAACCTAGACAGATTATGCCGTCTATCACCTGGAAATCAGCCTTTAACCCTCTGCAGACCACAAGAGTGACATCTTTTTATCTTTTAATACCTACACTTGATTTAACGGTGTTCTCTCAGCAAAACATCTGTTGGTCGTCGCGGGTCTGGCAGGTTGGATTCTACTTTATGAGTAGATAAAACTAAACTGGCCTACAGCTGTATGTAGTTAATTACCTCATCAGGAATTCCTTCAGATACACAGCAAATCTTTTTGTTCAGATACGTTCTGCAGGCACACACACATCACAATATGCAAAACGTCTGCTGTTTGCAGGATTGTTTTTAATTTCTTTATTTCATTCGTAGTATTATACTACACATTTGAGTGTTTCAGTGACATATGCATTCTGGCTTTTTGCAGCAAATTAAAGCCATTTAACACTTACCTCAGTTTATAAATAAAATGATTTTTCACTGTGCTAGAGCTGCAATTAACAATTACACTCTTCAAATAATCAATAAATGTTCCACTTATTTATTTTGATAAATCATCTAGCCTAATATTCAGTTTCCTAGGGCCTCATGTAACGTCTTAAAATTGCTTGTTTTGTCTGACCAGCAGTCCAAAACCTGTTATGTCATTTTTGCTTTACAATTAACAAATTGATTTAGTTGATTTAACTTTTGTAGACCTATCTGTTATTCTGACTTGCCGTTTCACCGCTGCTAAAATTATTATTTTTTAAATCTTTTTAGTGATTTGGAAATGTGCTTAAATACAGTTTTCTGTTTTCTAACCCTAAGCTGATCCAGTGAGGTTCTGCTTTAATAAACCTTCTCATCTCCGTCAGGTATTGAAGACCTGTGCTCTAAGCGGGAGGAGTTGAACCGGCAGATCAAGCAGGAGGAAGAGGAGAAGGATCGACTGCAGCACGACATCCGCATCCTCTCAGAGAAGCTGAGCAGAGTCAATGAGAGCCTGGCACAAAGACTCGCCGCCCGCGCCACTTTCGACCGCACCATCGCAGAGACCGAGGCTGCATACACCAAGGTTTGCGTGTGTTGACTGTCTAAAATATTATTATCCAGCAACATTGAACTATGGGAATTATGGGACACATTTTGGACCATTTTTGTTCACTGATGTGCCCAAAATGCTGTTGCTTTACTTATGACAGAAAAATAGGTTAGAGGTTTTTTAGTTTCTTGTATCCAGGAAATGTGGAATCAATAAGAGCTCACTTGACAAGTTAATGAAAGGGGTTGAATCTAAGATAAAAAAAGTTTTAAAAGCCTTTATTTTCCCTTGGAAAAATATTAGAAAATATTTTTTTCTTACTAAAAACTGGAGTGTGTTTAATCTTTCACTTTTATCTAGTCTCAGAAAATCCTAATTGTGTGAGGAACCAGCAGAAATATTTCAGTCCTTTATAAAATTTTAAAGTTTTTTAAAGTTGAGGGAAATAAGGTCTTTAAAAACAAACTTATTTTTGTGTTGTCAGTTGTCTACTGTCACGTGCTCATGATGTTTTTACTTTTACAACTTTTATGCATTTGTTGGATGATGCTGGTCAAAAGTAAAAAAAAAAAAAAAAAAAAAAAAAGATTATTGCTAAGACACATCTATTGAGTATCACAGAAATTAATTCAGGAACACACATATTTTGATGAAATAACTGGTTTAAACATTAATGTGAGCCTCCTAACTGAAGTATGATGGATAATATAGCAGTATTATTTTGCTTATAGCTTGTAAAAGACAATGATGAGGTGAAAAGATTGGAACAGGGCTAGATGGGGGCACGTCAAGGCACATGATTCGTGTAGGAAAAAGTAGATTTTCTTAGAATTTTTGAAGTTTGGAATCAGAAATGTCTAGAAATTGACATTTGTGTTAATAAGCCATGCCCACTTTGAGTAATCATTACCAAATTTTATGCATCAAGTGAGTAGTGACCCTAGATCGTACAAACCAAATTATGTATGAATCCATGTAGCGAATTACGAGGTATAAACTTTTTGCATGTGTAGTGCCCCCTAGTGGAAGAAAATCTCAGGGCTGCTCAGCGAAGCGCTGACTGAGCATCTGAACAGACACTCCAAGGTGGTTACAATAGCTTCAGCCAATTTTGTTTTACAGAGAAGAAAAGATCCTGCCAGCGTTTCGATTCGATTGGCCAAATGGAGTTTTTCGAGTTTGCAAAAATAGGTTTTTGAGTAAAATGATTAAAAAGTTGCATAATTTCACATTTTTACAGCAGAAGACCATTAAAATAATGAAAGAACTTTGACTCTAAATGAAGCTGTTTTGGGGATATTTGCACAGATGCTTCCGTAGGAATGTGGCATATTTCACCGAGTGTTAACAGGCTAATGAACAGACTCTGCTGCCTTTTCGTGCACCAGCAATTTTTTTTTCCCTCTGTGGTTTTTACTTGGTAGTCAGTGACGCAGTGATCATGTTGTCCTTCTGCAGCAGTCTCATCTCAAACAGGCACATCCCACTTATTGATGCTGGACTCCCTGAGCCCGCACACTAATCTCTGCAAACAAATGCTTCAAAGCTGCTCTTATTAAAAAACAACAGTCAGCAGTGCCTGACCCCCTTTTTTAAATGACTTTTACACTATATACCACATTGTCAGCTATACTAGGTGTTTTACTTCTTCTACTCTTAAGTATCTACAGTATATTTAATGTGATTTCTTTTTTTTTTTCCTCCACCTATAGATTTTAGAGAGTTCCCAGTCTCTTCTGAGTGTTCTGAAGCAGGAGGCAGGAAACCTCAGTAAAGCCACAGAGCCCCGGAGGAAGGATCACTAATGGCAGTGAAAGGTCACTGAACTCTCTCGTATTGACGACAAGAGCACACTTGACACTGCACTTAACAGTTTATACTCCACTCTGGACTATTTGTAATATATTTGACTGATTTATTATAAGTACCTTATTCTAATAAATGTGTTCTTATCACTCCGAACAGACTTGATTTTACTTGTTTTATTTTCTAGAGCCACATACCCTGTAGAAACAGACTTGTTTTTGTCCAGAAAATTTCAGATTTCTCAAGTCTTATCTCCAATTTTTAAATCAGATTTCACTTGCTTACTATCAAATCTCGACTGTTTATTTTTATGGATGGAAAATATCAAAACAAATTCCTTGTATGCAAAAAAACCCCTGTTTTCTCAGGATGGAAATGACACATATACTGCATTTACATTTGTTCAAGTCTTCTATTTATTGAGCTTTCATTTGTACAAGTTAAGACATCACCTAGCTTTTTTATTATTTGCCCAAATCATTGACAATAACTTTACAGTAAGAACATCTGCTGTGATGTCGATTTACAGACGAGGGGAAAAGTAAGAGGGGAACAAGATGGAGATTCTACCAGAGTCGCTACAATGTGAACACAAACTGCTAACTTTGCAACAGGAGTAGACAGATAGGGAAAAGACAGCGGTGAGAGACCGCATGTACACTTCAGAAGTCAAGTTGTGTGTATCCATGTCCCAGCAATGGCCATCAGAAAAGTCTTGCTGGTGTCATTTTAGACGATCAGCGGAGATTCCCACAGTTCACTCTACCTTTTTGGACCTGCAGTTCACAGAAAGACAGCGTTCAAGATTCCCACAAACAGTAATCGTTTGGTCGTTGAAAGGCATCAGTTTTAGCCCATTAATTACAAATCAAGTGTATCAGTCACATTTTTTCTGACTGTTTTCAAATGCATACACTACAGTTCTGTGTTTTGGTCACATTAATTTCCTCATGGTATGAAAATCTATTACTAGAATCTTGAAACTTGCTCGAGTATTGTAATCGATCACAGTGAACATCAAGTCTGTATTAGTATGTGTTACATTCTGGTTACCCTACATAGTAATGTATGATGATGTAGTTTAGTTTACATGCAGATCCATTTCAAATATAAGATTTAGATTTTCCCATAAAAATGTATCAAAAAAGGTATAATGTTGGTATGGAAACATATTATATCAAATTATACCCAGCCCTACTGCCTTATGATGCAACAATAATGGGACCTGATGTTCACTGTGATGTCTTTCAAGCTGTATATTAAGTCTTGATTTTCATACCATATAAAATTGAGTAGAAACCAATGGATTAGCAATAATAAGTAAGTAAGCATAAATGCAGTGTATGTGATTTGTACTAAACTGGCCAATAACTGAAAAGAAGAATTTTAGGGGTAACTCCTGGACCAAGATGAAGCCCTGGACCAGTGTGGAAATTACATGTGGGCTACAGTTTGTCACAGCAACAAGGCCGACAATCATAAGACTTCTAATGTGGGGGGGTGGGGAGTGGACATGGCATTCATTGGCAGTGCATTCATCATGTACAATTGAAGAGTCCTATTCCAAAACATTATTCATTCATTTTGATTCCAATAAAAAAACAAAATTAATATCTGTAATGTCACATACGTATTCTGCCAACCAGGGGCTCAGTTCTTATTCATCTAACGTATCTGACATACAATCAGTGGTTGTATAATAACAGGTGTCGATAGTGGCTTTTTGAAACATAACTCTTCAGCTGGACTTCTTGTTCTTTTAAGTGCACATTTCCTCTTGTCGCCTACTCTGTTCCTTCTCATGAGGTGCAAAACAAAGCTAAATGCATGACAGTACAAACACATTTAACATCCAAGACTCCAGACGAAACGGATCTTTCCTAAACTCATCAGACAAAGATAAACGTCTCACACACTAACAGCAAAATCCAGCCTTGAGCACTGAACAAATTGCATCTGATTGAAGAAATAAAAAAAAATTACAGAAGTAAGAAATACATCTTTGTACCTAATGAAAACATGGTGGAAACTGTACAACAATACTGGCCGAAGGGTCGATCCTGGGTGCGTAAAGAATGAACGGGAGGCCGTTACAGAAACACTTTAATCCGTTGGCATTATGAGTTAAAAAATAATAATCTCGAAACTCGCTGCATTCTTGTATATAAAACAATCTTAATTAAAAAAAATCATTACATATTCTTTCAAACACACACAATCTTGCATTCGCGCTCACAAACATGCCGTATCACAAATGATCATACTCATCGTTGCCTTCATTACTTCAGTGGACTGGCTTCTTTCTTTGTGGAATGTGAAAGTGCATGAGGTCCGACTGGAAAAAACAACAACAACAAAAACGTCCGGTGGGGCTGTTTGCACCAATCCGGTTCCTTCCACACCAGCAACTATGTCTTTACAAAAATGTCTATTGTACATGAGCAGGTCTCAGACATGCAAACTTCAACTTTAAGCAGGAATAAATACACGAGAGGAGCCAGAAAAAAGGTGCCAGGAGGTCTGACAGCTTTTGATAAATGTGACACAGATACCTTAATAGAGGATATACAGAAACATTCTACAGTATGACTTTGTCACCAGCAGTACGGACATACAGACATTATTGGCCAAGGTCACTTTTTCAAGCGTTCAGTCAGAAATCAAGAGTGGTTGCTGATTGACAGAAATCTTCCCTGGGGTGCATATTTCCCCCTCCCTTGCCACAAAGAAGGGAAGTGTGTTGAAGTTTGCTTGCCGTTAAGACTCTTCTTCCAATCGCAGAGCAGCTTCAATACAGCAGAGTGCGCCGGAAAACGTACGAAAGCTAAAAGGCATACAGAAGCTTTACAGTAAAGGAGAACCAACAAAGCTGTTGGCTGAAATTAAAACATGCAGGTACAAAAACAAAAAAGACAAAATAAACTACAATTGTGGCACCCTTTCACCATTTTTTTTTGTTTTTGTGTATGAGTGTGCCAGCGATCTACACAAGCGGATGCATCCATGCTAACACTGAACCTCTGTCACCGTGGCGTTTCCTACACATGGGCACTGGTGGCTTCCTGTTCTTTTTAAGGAATTTGGTCACTCGCTTTGCAGCTTCTTCGCTTGTCAACATCTCCCAAAACAAAACCTGGAGCGCATGTTGGGAGTTGAGACGGAGACTCGGAAGCAGCGAATCACAGGACGGACGTGAAGCCGGCAAACTTCCTCCACGGTCCGGAGAGGAAGACGGACGTTTCTCTAGAGTTCGACAATGGATTTGATTCTGTCGGACATGTCTTTACTGAGGATGAGGAAGGCGGGACGCTGACAGATCAACTGTGCAGGACCGTAGGGGAAAGACAGTCCAGCTGCTTTTTGGATTTGTTGCGTCAGGTTGGGAAGAAGGTGGGAATCCAGCCACCTGGCAAAAAGCTGAAACGTGGTGTGTAGTGGTGCCGTGGCAGGACATCAGCAAAAAACAAAAGCAAAAACCACTGTGTTTCCTGTCTGATGAGGAAGATGTGCTTGAAGAGACAGCTGGAGTGTAGAGCTGGAGGCAGTTCAGGCCCAGGTGTGGCAGACCTCGCTGGGCTCTGGCTGTAGTCTGGTCCCACAGGTGTGATGCTACTGTACAGGCCGATTGGTCCGACTGATCAGAAGTAGAGAGCGGGCTCGCTGCTGTAGTCAGACAGGGAGGAGCTGTCTGCCGGTGTGAGCTGAGGACAAAAGAATGAAGTTTAAATGTTAAAAATAAACGTCATATAGACATATTTTCCTCTGTCTCATGTTGTGGGTTCTCTCTGGGTGCTCCGGCTTCCTCCCACCGTCCAAAGAGACAGTTAATTGGTGACTCTAAATTGCATAAAGTGTGAATGTGATTGTTCGTTTCTATATGCTCTGTGATGGACTGGCGACCTGTCCAGGGTTTACCCCGCCTCTCGCCCACTGTCAGCTGGGATTTGCTCCAGCCCCACCACAACCCTGCACGGATAAGTGGGAACAGATAATAGATGGGTTTGTCACGGGACTGGGACGGGACAGGAAAAAAAGTCAACAGTAGTAGGTGGGACGGGAATCATATGTCCGTTTTTTGTATGTAAATATGCATTTCTAATATGGGTGAATGCTATTTTCGGATTTTTTCTTTTATCTGAAACGGGATGGTGTGGGAGTCATTCTTCCAGGATTGGGACAGGAAAGGATTATTATTGTGGGAGACGGATTTATCAATTCAGTCTTCTAAAATAGTAGATGTATGAATTGTGTAAAAAATTATGTTTTGCAGTAAAATAGGGTAATTTTGTGCTTAATGAGGTCCCGCTGTCCTTTTAAGGAGGAAATGTGACATTTTTAAGACCCTTTTCCTGCTGTTTAGGATGAAAACGAACACCACTTTTATCACTGAACAATATTACAAAATGATTTCAAAACCTAAAACTGCACATTTAAAAAGGAACAATCCACAATCAGTAATTGTGATCTGCTTTTCCCCCCTAGTTCTAACACAAAGACTGAGAGGATGCAAACTCCACAGAGTGACGACTGGAAATTTAAACTGGGACCTAGCGGAGAGGAGGCGTGACCTGGTCCTCGACTCTAAATCTGAAAACTGAGCAGCTTTTTGATGAACGGATGAGTTCCCCCTCACCATGACTTCCTCTGTCATCTGTGTCTGCTGGGAAGTGGTGTCCTCCTGGTAAACGCCGTCATCATGTTTGTGCTCCTGCCAGGCGCTGAAGTCCACCGAGTGCTTGGGAACGTAGCTGGAAAGGTCTGCAGACAATAAGAAGACAAGATGTGTTAATAAAGAGTTAATAACCTTTTTTTTCTCCATCTCTTGTTGCCACTGATGAATTTTGTACCTTTCCCTTTGGGCAAAAAAAGATACATGTCAATGAGACAGGATATATTAAAACAGCATGCAAAACCCAGCAATGATTTATAAGATGTTACTTGTTTTAATGTATTAAGTAGTAAAATCTGAGCTGATGAAGTCAAAATGAAAACTGTTTAGTCCAACACACACTTTGTTTAATCTAGTTAACAATTTGTCCAGTAGGGGTCTCTGTCATCATATTTACTGTTGTCTCTCCTTGCACCATGCTGATATAATCAGAAGCGCTGACCTGATCACACACCTTTGTAGTTTTGACACGAAAATAAAAAAACTT